CCGCCGCCGGGGCCTGGGCGAAAAGGATTCCTGAGTCACAGTGCGGCCATCCGCCCGCCAAACCCGACCGAGGTCTTGGGAGCCCAGCTGTCCCCTCCGCCCAGCGAGAGTCAAGGCCTCTGGCTCCAGCTCCAGGCCCTGCCCCCCGAGGAGCGCGTCTGCTGCCGCCGGTTCTTCACGCCAGCCCCCACCCCCCCCCGCCCCCACCCGGGTCAGACACAGCCACGCGCCAGGGCCCACCTTGCGCCTGTGGGAGGGCTCAGCTTACACCCTGACGACTCCTGCAGCCAGGCTGCGGTTTCCTTCGCCAACGGAATCTCGAAGACACGCAGACAATGTTTCCTTTTCGGGGAGTGAAAAAACAAAGCCACAAAACGCCCAGCCTTTAAAGCGTTACTTCTTCTGAACAAGCCTGCGTTGACCCCCTTAGCAGCAGAGCCCCGCCCCCTGTGCCTGGGTCAGGCCTCCTGAGCCCACTTTGCATCTTTTTTTTTTTCTAACCCTGCCCCATGGACACTTGAAAGTGACAATTAGTAGTTGCCATTTGCCCCCCCACCCCGCTGCCACAGTCTTGGGGCCAGTGGAGGGTGGAGACCCTAGGCCCGGGCCAATGGGAGGACCTCAGAGCTCTTATGGTGGAAGAAGAGGGGATGTGGGAGCTGCTGCAGCCTTTTTGGCACCTTGAGGTCAAGCAGCCTCAGAATGAAACATAGATGATTTTTTTTTTTTTAAATGTGCTTCCTGCAGAATGCAGAGATTCTTTCCTGGGAAATTTCCAGTTCACGCCTATTATCTTCAAAACACATTCCTACCTACATTATTCCCAAGCCTCTTCCGCGTGGCTGAAAACTCACTCTTTTCACCATTGTAATATCCCAGAAAGTTCTGGAGTCTGGGTGCATCCTATCACCGAGGGGCTAGGTCCCCATCGCCCGCCGTGATACATAAAGACACCTGGTCATTCTCCAAACGGCAGGCTGGCAGGCATTCACTTCTGTGGTCACGGAGAGGCCTTGTGAAGACTTCTCTTTCTAGTTCCTTCGGCTGCCTTGGGGGTTATCATCCAGTGCCGCCGCCCTCGGCTCCGAATTAAAACGTCCGCCACAGTTCACCGACGCTTTGGTGACAGGGAAGCTTTATCTTCCAGAATGGCAATTGAATTAGTGGAAGAAGCGTCTTGGGTTGTGTCCAGATGGCAGGGGAAGCGTGTGGGGTGGCCGTTAGCTCGACTGAGACAGGGAAGGCATGCTTCCTGTTCATCGCACCGGCCGAGCCTTGGGACACGGCCAAGTTGTGACCGTCTCTGACAGTCTCCAGGGGTGCTCTCACACGTTTGTTTCAGCGTGAGCCTCCGTAGCTCCCAGCCTCTGAGGGGCCCTTGCCTGCCTCCCGAATGGGTAGGGTTAATCCCCCTGACTTTGGTCTGGTTATATAGCCTGTTCTCCAGGCCACTGATACATGTATGTGCGTATATTCCCTCCGCATTTACATGCGTGTCATTATCCATCCATGTACCTGTCTGCGAATGCATGCATCCACCCATCTGACTGCCATCCAGCCGTCCAGCCGTCCATCCATCCACTTTTTCACCCATCCATCCATCCGTCCATCCATCCGTTCATCCATGCATCATCCATCTGTTGTGCATGTGAGACTATAACTTTCCCATCTCACATCCTTCCTACTTTCTCCCACAATCAGAGACTTTGAGTTTATTTATGTTCGCAATATACCAGCTACAGGACTATTGGCTCACTCTCCCTTGGAATTAAAAAAAAAAAAAGAAAAGAAGTTCTGTGGAATAAAATTCATGTCAGCAGAAATTGCTAGGGAACACTTCTGAAAAATTCTTGGAGAGGTAGAGCAATGGCTGGGAAGGGCCCCTTTGAGCTTTGTCCGCTTCATCTTGTGGCTGCCTGGAACACGGAGGTGATGTCTGGAGCCCCAGCAGCTAGGCTGGGGCAGGCGGTAACCTAGAGGATGAGAGGCACTCTTGAAGAGTGACAGAACATGGAAAAGGACACATGATGGCTGGCGACACTGCGGAATGGCCGTGCCCGTCCCGGACAACTGCCTGCACCTCTGTCATGGAAACGAGGATACGCTTTTATCTTACCTTTGGTCAAAGACAGGTTGGCTTCGGTCTTATTTAAACCACTTCTGTCTCTGGTCCTGTTGCCAGAGGCTGGGTCCCATTCAGCATAGAGAGTAAATGGGAGGTCCTTGTGTTGAACGAAGCAGCCGAGACATCTCTTGGCAGCACTTATGGTACCCGCTGTGCAGATGCACAAGAGAACGTTCTGAACTCGTAGAATGGATGGTGGGTGGGTGGGTGGGTGGGTGGGTGGATGGAAGGATGGATGGGTGGATGGATAGATGGGTGCATGGGTGGGTGGATAGATGGATGGAAGGATGGATGGATGGGTAGATGGATGGATAGGTGGATGGATGGATGGGTGGGTGGATGCATGGATGGGCAGATGGATGGATAGGTGGGTGGGTGGATGGATGGGTGGGTGGTGGATGGATGGATGAGTGGGTGGATGGATGGATGGATGGATGGATAGGTGAGTGGATAGGTGGATGGATGGTGAATGGATGGGTGGATGGATGGATGGGTGGGTGGTGGGTGGGTGGACAGTGGACAGGTGTATGGATGGGTGGGTGATGGATGGATGGATGGATGGACAGGTGGGTGAATGGACAGATCACTAGTGGATGCATGAGTGGAGGGATGGGTGGATGGATGGATGGATGATAGATGATGGATGGATGGGTGGGTGGAAGGAGGAAGGGAAAGACTAGATGGTTGGACAGATTAGTGAATGAATGGGTGGGTGGAGGGACTCATGGATGAACATACAAACCAGGGAACTGTTCACCTGATACCTGTGCACTCTTCTGTAATTAACTAGCAGTCGCACACTGGGAAACAGCTATAAAGTAGGAACATTGACTTCATGAGCCCACTCCTGGGGTCACAGAAGTCTCGAGGGGTGGGCTGGGACCAGAAGCAAGACTTCTCAGCCCCCGCATCGAGGCTGCTTGCGCCTCTCAGCCCCCGACCTGCCCGACACCACGGGCATGTTCCAGAGATGAAAATGCGTTCACAGCAGCCAGAGACAAAGAGCCATTTGTCACTTGGAGTTCCCGTCTTGGAAACTTTGTGGTTCCTGCCCCTCCGTGGTCCGACCCCTTTTGGAAACAGTAACTTCATTAATTCAGCAAAACCCTGACGCAAGCCTTGTGTGTGTGTGTGTGTGTGTGTGTGTGCATGTGTGTGTGTATATAATATATATATTATTTCCCTCTTCAGCGTAGCCTGCGTTGGGTGTGGTGCAGAAGCCAAGGGAAGTGAGGGGAGCTGCTCCATCTCTGAACAACTCCTCTGTCGAGGAAGTGGCCGCCTGTGGTTCCTCTGGCTCGGGACCAAGCGTCAGCTTCCAGAACCCCGCGCTGAAGTCATCCGTCGTGTTTGTCTCTCGGCCTGCTTCGGCCGGTCAACAACCTTCTCTGTTAGGACGGTGTGGGGGCGCTGGCCCCGGGGCCCCGGACCTCGGACCTGGGGCGGGGGACTGGGGTGGGCCGGGACGGTCACAGTGATGGGGTGGAGGCGTCCCCAAGACGCGGGGCGGCGGCAGAGCCGTCGGGAGGGACCGCTGTGGGTGTCTGTGACTCTCAGCGTGCTGACACCTTTCCCGAGTCAGCCCCCGGCTCGGAAGCCCCGCCCAGCCCAGGCCCAGGGCCCTTGCGATGGATGATGGTTCCAGAACCAAAAGCATGCAGAGAGCAAAGCTCCTTCTCTTGCTGCTCTTTGTCCTGATCGGCCACGCACACCGAGCCCACACGTGAAGGTTGAGTCACGTTGGAGTCTGAGGCAGCCACCGTCGGGCAGCCAAAGGTGGGCACGTACGTCTTGGTTTCCCCTGAAACTTAACTCCTCATCACCTGCTGTTCGCAGCCTGCCTGACGGACCTCGTGAACACTCTACAGAACATGCATCGTATCCTGGATTCTTTTTTTTTAAAGATTTTATTTATTTTTATGTTTAGAGAGGGAAGGGAGGGAGAAAGAGAGAGAGAGAGAGAAACATCCGTGTGTGGTTGCTGGGGGCCGTGGCCTGCAACCCAGGCCTGTGCCCTGACTGGGAATCGAACCTGCGACACTTTGGTTCGCAGCCCGAGCTCCATCCACTGAGCTACGCCAGCCAGGGCTCCTGTATTCTTACAACAAAACGAACTAGGAAGAAGACCGTGTTGGCAAAAACACTACAAGGAAGAGAAAATACATATAGATGCCTTGCTGACATATCTACATGTTTACTTAATTTTCAACACGGCTAGCATGTTTGTTTTCTGGGTTTCCTCACACACCTCCCCGGCACTTTCCAATACACGCCGTTGACACATTCTCCACGCGGGAGGGCACCTGCGTGGGCCCCTCCACGGCGGTCCGAGGTCCTCCTGGGCCTGCGCGAGCAGGAAGCTGGCAGGCGGGTGAAGCAAGCACTCGGCTCCCTTCTGAAACGCTCGTTGATCCTCCCAAAACCGCTCTGTCTCGTGAGAGATCCCAAAGCTCACGAGTGAGGTCAAGTGTGGCTCGCGCACGCTGGTGTGGGGCCTGAATCCTCAGCAGACTGCGGCATCTGCATTTCCTTTTTTTTAATCTTTGTTCAAGTACAGTTTTCTCCCTTTTACTCCCATTCCAGCCTGCCCACCCATCCCTCCCCACTTCCCTCCCATGACCACCCACCCCTAGTTTTTGTCCACGTGTCCTTTCTACTTGTTCCTGCAAACTCTTCCCCTTTTCCCCTGAAATTGCCTCCCCTCTCCCCTCTGGTCACTGTCAGCCTGGCCTCTATTTCAGTGACTTTGACTATATTTTGCCTGTTTCTTTGTTTTGTTGATTAGGTTCCTGTTAAAGGTGAGATCACACGGTATTTGTCTTTCACCACCTGGCTTATTTCACTCAGCATTGTGCTTTCCAGCTCCATCCCGTGCTGTGGCAAAGGGCAGGTCAGAAGGCATGTCCATTTCTGATTGTTAGGGCTACCCTGTGGGCTCAGGTGACGACCAAATGGACAATTTGTGGAGTTAGAATATCAATTGTCACTGCTTTTTTTTTATTTTTTCTTTTTTTTCTTTTTTTTTTTTTTTTGCTAGAACTCAGCAAAGCAGGCTGCCAGGGCTGGGTGTCTGTCCAGGTGGAGAAACTGGCGGGTCCCAGCCAGCGGGACAGTGGTTCGTTAAACGCCCTAAGGCCGGTTGTAAATCATTAACGAGAGTTGGTGGTTTCCCGTGATAGGAGCCCACAGGAAACGCCACCCCCAGATTTCCGTTAGGGTTTTCTCGGAGGCCCCCTTGGCCAGGGGAGCGCCGAGACCGCCCTCCCCTCTGTGGTCCCAGCCCCTGAGCCGTTACTGGGGACGCTGAGACCTTCTGCCGTCACACCTGGGCCGGCCCCTGCTCGCCCAGGTCTCCTGGATTCAGCATGACCTGCAACCCGCCCCAGCGCACCCCAACACAGCTGCAATTCCAGATGGACGGACCTTACTAGGCAGAGGCTGCGATGACGGGAGATCCTAGACCAGGCAGATAAGGAACAATGGGCAATTACTTCTCAACGTGTGGAGGCTGAAGTCCAAGATCCAGGTGCCGGCAGGTGCGGCGTGCGGTGAGAATGCTGGTCCTCAAACAAGACCGGCAGCTTCATGGTGGGTCTTCACCCTGTGGGAGGACCCCAGGAGCTCTCAGGGGGTCTGTCTGATAAAGGGCACTAACGCCACCGTGGGGTCATCACGTCCCAAAGAACGCACCTCCTAATACCATCGCTTCTGGGGCTGGGGTCTCAACCTCATGAATTTGGGGGAGGTGGGGGGCGGATCCATGCCTCCAGTTCCTAAAAGAAAGGGTCAGCGAGTGAGTTAGCACGGTCCACCCTCTGGTCATCTCACCAGAGTTCGGCCAGAGCGAGAGCGAGATGGGCCCTGGCGCCTCCGCGCACGGCTGACGCCCACACGGAGAGACTGACAGGTCGCCGGCCGCGAGGGAGCAGGCAACTCAGAAATGCGAAGGGGAGTTCGTTTTGCAAATCCAGGCGCTGGTGTGGTCGAGGGAGCGCCCGCCACGCTGTGGGGTGAGCCGTGCCGGCCAGCTGTCCCTGCCTCCGTCCACATCTCCCCGGGCTCGGGGTCTCTGCGGGGCGGGGGGGGGGGCTCCAGGAACAGGGGGTGCGCAAGGGGGCGTGGTGCGCTTCTGCCCAGGGTCAGCGCGGTTCCAACGGTGGCTTTCTGGCTTCTGCTATCACGCAGCTGCAGGGCCACGGGCCCGCCCCCTTCTGTCTGCTGCAAGATTGGCATTGGCACTGGCCAATGGGATGCCGCGGAGGTGCTGCCCACGCTCTGCAGCTGCTCACTCGTGGGAGTACCTGCAGCTCAAGCGGGAAAAGCCACCTCCCACCGCCCCGGGGCCTGACCCGGGACTCACCAGAAGGTCCTCCCCGTGCGCCCCCACCCCAAACAGCCGCGCCACGGAATGGAGAGCACGATCCATGGTGACGCAGTTCTTGTCTTCGACTCGGTTCCCCTTACTTCGCCAAGAAAAACAAAACCGATCTAGACACACACAGCATTGAGCATACAGAGAGAGCGATCACGGAGCAAAACGGTTCGGAGCCACTGGAAGTATCTCTACGTATGACTATGGGACCCAGACAGGAGAAATCCAGCCGTGCTGGTGTCTTTCGGTGGTTTTCGTTCAAAGCATGCCCTTAAAAATTCATTGGCTGCAACTAGAGCTTTGCTTGGTATGTGATTGTAATCTGAAAAGACACCGGCGTTCGGGCTGCCTGTCACTGCCAAACCCAATAAGCAATGACAGCGATTGGATCTTTGATGGGCGCTTTATTCAGATCCGAGGAGATGGCGGGTTCACACCCTAACAGACCATTTCCTGGCCAGACCTTTTATGAGGGGGTGGGGGAGGGCACGCAAGGTGGGGTGAGGGCTTTGAGATTCAGAAGCTGCAACATTCCTGTCCTGCGCAGTTACCTGTTCCCAAAGCGTGGGGTGGTCACACAAAAGGCCCAGGTGCCTCCAACGTGTCCCCAGGCGGCAATCTCCAGCCAGTGCCCCAGGAGGTCGGCTGCTTTTCCCAGGAGCCAGGACGGGCCTTATCTGCAGTTTCTGAAACAAAAGCTTAACATACACATGCCTTGCTAGACTTACGGCTTTTTACCTCCAGCTAAAATTTTCCAAGTCTTGAGTCCCCTATCATGATGTATCTTTTTTACAATTTAAAACGTGGTTTTTTTTTTTTTCAATTACAGTTTCTTTTCAATAGGATTGTGAGTGAGTTTCAAAGTGCAGGGCGTAGCAGCTACACATTCATAAATGTTGCAAAGTGATCTCCTGACGTTTGCAGCACCCAGGAGGCGCCACACCTAGCTGTTACAATGTTACTGACGCCGCTCCCTGGGCGGCACTTTAGATCCCCGGGAGCGTTCTGTAACTGCGGGGCTGTACTCCTGGGTCTACACTGTTATCCTTTTAAGACGCCAAGTTGCGGGGAGGCTCCTGGTGCTGAGGAAGCCGACACACACAGTGGCCTCCAACTATGAGTGGCTCTGGCATGACACGTATCTTTACCCAGGACTCACAGCACTCTGCACGGGCTCCCGGGCACCTCGGGGAGCTCCGGCGAAAGGCGTCCTGAAGCAGTTTGCAATGCCTTCGGCTTCCAAGCCAGGGGCAGCCTGCAAGACGTCCGATGATGCATTGTCGTGCGGCAATCTCTCTGGCTTTTGCTTGCACTCCCAAGCATCTGCCGGAGGTCCAGGTCCGGTGGGCCGGTCTGGGGTTGACAGGTTCTCCTGAGATTCGAGGCGTCTTCCCCTAGTGGGGCCCTACTGGCCACTGGTGAGCAGAGATCTCCTGGCTGCATTCCCCGGGGGGTGGGGAGTCTTTGCACCCACGTTCTAAGATTCTTGAGAAACAGCAGGCTTCACTTGGATGCAGACACCGGCCCGCAGTGTCTGCATCATCATGGATGAAGTGAGACATTCTCACACGGACCGCCAACTCCAGTGGAGGAAAAGGGACAGCGTGGCTTTTCTCTCCAGGGGAGCAGAAGCCTTGGCCCTTGTCGTGACCGGCCTTTATGGGGTTTCTCCGCCCATTACACTGATGGTCCTCATTTACTAGGCACAGGCTCACTTTAGGGGGTCACCTTTTACAGAAAACAAAGGAGCCAATGCTGCTCATCCCATCACAGAAGAGGGAGATTTGCAGATGAACAGGCAAACGTGGTTGAACCAGTTACAGTCAGTCATTCTTGGAAGGTTTAGCACGGATTTTAGGAAGTTGCTTTGCAGTAAATGTCCTCAATTCAGGGTGAGGGAGTTTTTTAGCAAGAGCAAGACTCAAAGCGGCCTGGGCACATGACAGGCCTGATTCCCCACGGGAGAACCTCTCCGTGGGCGTGGGTCCTGTGCCTCTGTCTCCGAGTGGGAGCCGGGCCCACGCCCACGGAGAATGTTCTACTACAGACTTGACTTTGGGTCTCTGGGGGCTGCTTGCTCTGGAATGAGCGTCCCAACAGAAAGACGGACATGCCAACATTACTGGCCTCTGATGGGTTCCCTCAAAACAGGGTGCAGGCCCTGGCTGGTGTAGCTCCGTGGATTGAGCGCGGGCTGCGAACCAAAGCCTCGCAGGTTCGATTCCCAGTCAGGGCACATGCCTGGGTGGCAGCCCATGACCCCCAGCAACCGCACATGGATGTTTCTCTCTCTCTCTCTCTATCTCCCTCCCTTCCCTCTCTAAAATAAATAAATAAAATATTAAAAAAAAACCAACAGGGTGAAGGATGTCATTGGTTGGAATATAACCTGCAACATTCTCTTCGGGGACCTGGGTACTTTACACTTGGGGGCGGGGGGATTGAACCACGAGACTGAGGATACGTCTCATGTGCTGTTGGAGCCGTCAAGGGCGTGAGTAACACTCTGTGACGACAGCCGGGAAGTGCTCTGATGCAGGTAGGTGGTGCAGTCACAGGGCAACGCCCGCTGCGGAAGGCCCACCTCCCGCTCCGGGGCGGGGGCCTGACACCTGGTCACCCGGCTTGTCTGTCCTTTTGATCCGTAAACGAGTAACCGGCCGTCCTCTCCCTGCATCCGAGTGTGTGCGCGTGGTGTGTTTGCACACACCCTCCCGTGTGTTCCCGTCTCCTCACGGGCTCTGGTGAATGGTTAACCCCGGCTTCAGCAAACACGCCACGGAATCCACGACTCAGCACAGTCAGCGTTCCTCCCGGCACAGACAGAGAGCCCGGGTGAGTGAGTCCCAGACGGAACACGGGTTCCTCTTTCTCTCTTGCTGTGACGGACACCGGTGCTGAAAGAGGCCCTCCGGCAACACCCGATGTCACCGCGGTTCCACGAATGGTGAGTCGTCCGTTTTTTGTATTTTGAGGTGATTACCGAGTCGCAGACGGTTGCACAGTGTCGGGGGCCAGTCGGTGCCTACGCACCCAGAAACCCTTCAGGCAGCTTTGCCTCCTGGGGGCAGGAACCACGATGGCCGCAGGACAACACTGGACCCGGAATGGCGCCCTCGCCGGCGTGGCTCAGTGGGGCGAGCATCGTCCTGCAAAGGGCAAAGTCACCGGTTCAATTCCCAGTCAGGGCACACGCCTGGGCTGCAGGCCAGGTCCCCAGCAGGGGGCGCATGAGAGGCAACCACACATTGCTGTTTCTCTCCCTCTCTTTCTCCCTCCTTTTCCTTGTCTCTAAAAATAAATAAATAAAATCTTTTAAAAAAGTATTTTTTAAAAAAAAGCAACCCAAGATATCAGCACTGCACATTCTTGTTTATGAGACTGCAGACTCCAATGAAGGGAAGACTTTTTACCAATCCATTGAACTTTATTTTTTTTATTGTTTTATTGTTTTTAATGTATTGAGGAAAGAGAAAGAGAGAGAGAGAGATTTGTTGTTGCATTTATTCATGCATCACTGGTTGATTCTTGCACCGGCCTGGACTGGGGATTGAACCCACAACCTCGGTGCCTCAGGACGCTGCTCTAAGCAACTGAGCTACCCGGCCAGGGCCATTCGGTCCACTTCCAGTGGACACATTGCCTCAATGTGTGGCCTTAACTAACCCTCCGCGCCCGGAGCATTCCACAGCGGTTACCATGCATCAGCCCAGCAAGACATGTTGCGTGACATTCTGGGAGCAATAGCAGCTCACGTGTTCTGTGCTCCCGGCCGGACACGCTCCGCCTCCCTGCACCATGCAGCCTCTGGGGGCTCTCGTGGCCGCACACACGCAGGGTGGGGGACCCTTGAGGGAGGGCAACGGCTTGTGTACCTTGTTCTGAGTCAGCGCGGGGCTGGTGTGTTTAGAGGCACGGTCACCAGACCGGGGTGCGTGAGACACTATCATCTACGGTCGTCCATCGCCGCCGCCATGGCAACCGGCCCGCATCTGGAAGGGATCAGGAGGGACTTTTCTGGAGGGGGAGGTGAGATGCTGGGGAAGACAAGGGTTCAGGGCGGGTGGGACCCCGTCAGGAGTCTTATAGGGGAGGACACCCCATGAAGGAAACACAGGGGGGAGACCTCCGAGGGTGGGCAGGGGCTCCCCAGAAATGGCATCCCGTGGGCTGGCTCCTGCAGCTGGGCAGGTGCTGAGCTGCCCGGAGGGGTGTGAGCAGCCTCAGGACCCCGGGATGAGGGGAGACTCATCCTCCTCAGACGCCCCCCCGCCCGCCGCCCCGGACCCTTGTGGAAGCCACAGGAACCCCCGTCGCCTGAGGCCCAAGCTCAGCATCTGCTTCTGGGGAAGCCGGCGTCCATCACCCACTTTGGGGTCTCCCAGAGACCTTGAATTGGCTGTGTATGTGTGTGTGTGGGGGGGGTGTGGGTGGGGGGGTGTGGGTGGGGGGGGTGCTCCCAGCCCTGCCCAGCCGCAGAGAAGCTGCCCCTGGTTCCCCATCCGCCCAGGCCCTCCCCCCACCGCCTGCCAGGCAAGCCCGGGTGGGTGCTGATGAGTCACCCAGAGAGTGCAGGGCCCTGCCCAGCTGCAAACCCCGTTTCCTCCTCAATTTTCCTGAGGCCTCGCCCAAGGCGCCCTGGCTGCCGGCCGGCAGGCCTGGTGACCGGGAAACACACAAGTCCCCCTCCCGCTGGCCACAGCAGTCAGCGGTTCCCGGGGACAGGCCCAACGGCCCGGTGTTTTTCTGCAGACGCGGCGCGAAAAGGACCAGCGTTAATCCGCCCGGGGGGGTGGGGGGGGGCCGTCCCCTAGAATGGCCCTGAGTGAGCGAGGGAGCGGAGCCCACGCGGCCGGGAGGCAGTGCTGCGTGGGCTTTACCCCCGGGGCCCGCCCCGCGGAGAACCGACTGGATCCGCAGAGGCACTCGCCCAAGGACGCAGGACCCAGGAAACGGGCCCGGAGGTGGCCCTGCCCCCAGCGCGGGCTCGGGAGCGGGAGGTTGTGTTGTCGCCGTCTCCATGGAGACGCGCGGCTGCGGAACTGGTTTCCCACGCGGCGGAGGGGGTGCAGGCCGCTGCGCATCCGCCCGCTGGGGGCAGACTTCAGCGGAAAAAGCAAAGCAAAGCAAAACAAAGCAAAACAAACCAAAAAAAAAAAAAACCCCGATGACAAAAACTGAAAGTTTTAGGTCGGGTAGCCAGTGTGTGTTTGCACCCGTTGTCAAAACATTGATTTTTACACTTGTTTTTAGGGCAGGCGCCGGGTGACCGTGGATAATAATATTCCACAGGTTTCAGGGGGCACGAGTCTGTGACCCATCCTGCGTGCGTCGTGCTGGGGGTTCGCCGGCCCGAGCCCCATCTGCATGCGTCCCCAGGGGGCCCCCTGCACCCTCCTCTGCCGCCCCACCCCCGTCCCTCCGGTCCTCAGGTCCTCAGCGTATGGTTGTCTGACTCTGAGTTTTTTTCTTTCTTTTCTTTTCTTTTCTTTTCTTTTCTTTCCTTTCCTTTCCTTTCCTTTCCTTTTCTTCTCTTTCTTTTTCTTTCCTTTCCTTTTCTTCCCTTCCCTTCCCTTTCCTTTCCTTCTCTTTCCTTTTTCTTCTCTTGTTTCTTCTTTTTGCTCAACCCCTCCCCCTTTTCTCCCGGTCCCCCCCCCCATCCCCTCCCCTCTGGCAGCTGTCAGTCTGATCTCTCCATCTACCTGGGGGTCCGTCTCCGTTTTGTTCGTTACTTCCTTCCCTTCGATTCCCCGTGGAAGTGCCATCCTGTGCTATGGGTCTCTTCTCTGACGGCCTTATTTCACTAAGTGCATTTTTATCCTAAATAGTATTTCCCTTTTCAGTGGATGTTTTGAAAGGCACGGTACGGAGCCAGAGCAGAGAATGACACTGGACATGAGTGTGTGGCCCCCACCGGCCACCACGGGGAGGGGCCACTCCGTGTCTCCCTGGGGTCCCACGGGCTGCCCCTCCGCCCTGCGCCACCAGCAAGACGCCCATCGTGTTTCCGGCACATTCCTGCGATATCTAGATAACATATCTCTCGTATCTGTTTAGGCGCGTGTGTCTCCAATCTAAGTAACAGACGTGTCTGGTCCCTGTTCTGGACACTCGGTCTGACATCATGCGGAATGCCATCTGAAACGGGATGATAAAACTGCTACACAGGAAAGTCAGCCCTGGCCGGGTGTCTCAGTGGGTTGGAGCGTCATCTTGGACACCAAAAGGTTGCGGGTTCGATCCCCAGCCAGACCTCATATGAGAGAAAAGCAATCGCTCTTTCTCTCACACTGATGTCTCTCTCTCTCTCTCTTTCTCTCTCCTTCCTCTCTCTCTCTCTAAAATCAATAAATATACCCTTGGGTGACGATTTAAAAAAATAAAAACAAACAGAAAGAAAGTCAGATAATTGTCTGAGACCCAAGGCCCGTGAGGCGGCCCCGAACCCCCCCTGCTGGCTAAGGGTTCCTGAATGCAAAGGGCCAGACACTGACCACCCATCACCGCGGTGTGGAGACACGGCCCATTTCACCCTCAATGGCTTCGTGCACGAGAATGGGCAGCTGCCAGGCCCAAAGCCACCCTCCGTGCGGTGGTGTGTGCAGGGGGCAGATGCCAGAGAAGCACAAGGCACCGAGGGCCCGGGGCTCAGGGGGCATCATCCACGCAGCTCCTCTGAGTGGTCTCCCGGCTGGGGTTCCACATTGGGGGTGGGGGCAGCTGAACCATCGCTTTCTGGAGTGTCAGAAGGGCCCCCCTTTGTGAATTTCGGACCCCGTCACACTAAGGAGAGGCCTGGAGAGCATGCGTCCTGTTACACAGTGCTACATGTAACGGCTGCTTGAAGACGCCTCCCACTTCCAGGATGCCGACACAAAATTGTCTGTGGCGATGGCTGGCACATGCTCCGCAGGGGAACAGGGAATCTGTGGGTTACCGCCCACCTCCTCGCAGTACCGTCCCCTGTCGGATACGAGGGAGTGACCAGCAGGGAGGGACGTTTCTCCCCCTGCGCGTGCGCCCAGTCCTGGGCGTGCCCACGCTCACCGAGGCGCGGAGAAGACCTCCAACACAGGGTCACCAGAAAAAAACAAAACAAAACCAACGCGCCCAGAAGCGCGCGCTTACGGAAACACCACCGAGACCCCGAAGGTACAACACAGACGATCACCACGAAATCACCAGGGAGACGGCTACGTGTTCGTCGGGATTCACCTCCAAGGTGGAGCCCCCACCTTCCCGAGTTAGGACGCGAGGACCATGCCGTGCCGGGAGGAAGTCGATCTGCCCGCGAGAGCGCGGCTGCACCTGCGAGATAAAAGCGAGGCAGCCATCCCGATCCTGTGCGTGCGGCCAGCGCGGAAGGACTCTGACCCGCCAGGCCTCGCGGTCTCCAACCTGGACGCGCCTCCGCCCCGGGGCGCATCGGGAGCGCGGATTCGTTAGCAGTGAAGCGCTGTCTCCCTGCAGCGAGCTGCCTGCCCGCAGCGAGGGTGAGATGGGGGACCCCATCTGGTCCGAGCTGGTAGTCCAGCTGGACTTGGCCCGTTTCTTTCTTGCTGGACAGCATTCTCTGCGCTCCCAAGGCACGGCTCAGAAGCAACAGGCGAGCCAGCAGCGCAGAGGGTCGCCGTGGTCTCCAGAAGCACAAACAGCTCCGGCGAAGGCGATGCGGGTGCCAGGACCATGCGTAGGCGTTTCGGACGCTGGGACTGATGATGAGCAACGTTTGCAAACGTGATCCGAGCAGATTCCTTCTGTTAGCTGCGCGATGATCCTGTTCTCGGTCAACCCAGCACCGTCAAGTGTGGGACGTGAGCGAGACCAACCCAGAACCCAGACCCCAGGGGGCGGAAAAGTCCCCAGCTCCCGCGTCTCTACACTTGCCAGCCTCCAAAGCGGGTCTCCTTGTCCATCCCCGCTGGGGCAGGCGGTCCACGCTGGCCCAGGAAGACATCCGGCCCGCAGCTGGCCACGCACTGCATCGCCCGGGGCCTCGGGACGCGCACGCCCGTTCTCCACAGGACGCTCGTGCGGCCGCCGGAGCCACCGCGATGGAAAACCTTGCAGGTGAGTCCAGAGCCGCTAAGGGAAAGAAGTCCCGGTGGCGCCCAGGTGTGTGGCTCCGCCTGATCAGGAGATCGTAGAGGCTGGGGCAGATGGCACCCGTCGAAGGAGAAGCCGCCGGTTCTCCCTTAGCGTCTTTACGGATTCAAACTTGAAATGGCTCCGTGGGCGGAAGGGACTGGGCTCATCAACGGGCATTTCCACGCGTCTGACTCGGTTTAAATTCACACAGCGTGCATTGCACTAGTTAAAGGGTTCGATTTAGCAGCATTTCGCTCCTTCACAATGGTGTGCAACCACTGCCTCTTTCTGGTTCCAGAACATTCTCCTCACCCGAGAAGGAAACCCGCTCCCAGGAGTCCTCACCCCCATCCCTGTCCCCCAGCCCCTGGCAAGCACTGACCCCCTCTCTGCCCCTGCGGACTGGCCTGGGCGCTTCCCACGCTCGGAACCCACACCAAGAGGACCGTGGGTGTCTGGCGTCTCTCACGGAGCCTCCTGTGTTCAAGGCCTGTCCACGCTGCAGCCTGAGTCAGAGCCTCGCTCCTGTTCCTGGCTGCGTACTATTCCACCACGTGCCAGCACCCACTTCTGTGTATCCACTTATCCATCCATGCGCACTGGGGTCGTTTCCACCTTTTGGCTGTTTGGGGCGGCGTCTCTACGAACATTTGTGTACAAGGTTGTGTGGGAACGCCCTTTCTAAGTCCCTTTGGCCACACAGACCTAAGCGTGAACCACGGTGTAATTATGTGGGAATCTCTTTCAGGAATCACCAGCTGATTTCCGCAGGGCTGCCACACCCGCTCCCCACCAGCGAGGAAGGGAGACTGGAATTCCTCCCCAACCTCGTCGACAGTTCTTACACCCCTCCCTTTTTAAAAATGATCAGCATGTCAGTGATATGCCCAGGCCGTCACAGTGGCTCGCAGCTGTCTGCGGTCCTCTGGGTCTGAGGGTGTAGAGAACAAAATCCAAGTTTTTGTTTCCATTTCGTTGTCACGTGATGGGAACTCAAACTATTGCACTGTGGATTGATGGTCAAGAGGATTTTTTTTCAAGATTTTATTTACTTATTTTCAGAGAGGGAAGGGAGGGAGAAAGAGAGAGACACAGAGAGAAACATCCATGTGCGGTTGCTGGGGGCCGTGGCCTGCAACCCAGGCATGTGCCCTGACTGGGAATTGAACCGGCGACCCTTTGGTGCACAGGCTGGCACTCAGTCCACTGAGCCACACCAGCCAGGGTAAGATAATTTTTTTAATGCTTATCTGACGATATGCGTATTCATTTTAGAGAGTGAGACAGACAGGAACATCCTTCTGTGTGCACCCTGACCGGGGATCGAACCTGCAGCTTTTCCCTGCCCGGGGCGACGCTCCCACCAACTGAGCCACCAGGCCGGGGTGCCAGCTGGTGTCCCTTGCTGCATTTATGAGTTCGGGTCCCCCGAACCCCAAACTCCTTGCAGGGAACGTGGGCATTCTAGGACCCAGACTCCGCGCAGGGACCCTGAGGGAGGGCTGCTCTGAACCAAACCTGAAAGACCACCCCCCCCCCGTTGGCCCTTCCTGCCTCCCCACTCCCCGGCACCCACGGGAGCAGACGCCGCACCACCGCAGCTGAGGACCCAAGGCAGACCGGCCCTGACCCGGGTCACGAAGGCCGATGCCTACAGCCACGTTCTCGGGAAATCCTTGTGCCCTCCGATCCCATGACACCCCTTTCCACTGTGGGCGCCGTCGGGGCACAGAACACATACGCGGTCCCCCCCAAAAAAGCTGAGTGGTATGGAGGTGTCCTTTCCTCTCTTCGTTCGGGTGCGGTGACCCTGGGGGACAAGGGCGCCCCCTTCCCCCGGGAATGGGGAGAGGCCCGCCTGCTCCAAGAGAACAGGGACATGAGTGTGCAATTTTCTGGGGCAGGAAAGGGGCACCCCAACCGTCCCAGCCCCCCGGGGCCACATTTCATGGGTTGCAGCTCAGCCTCCCTACCAGCCACTCCCCAAATCATCTGGCTGTTGAGCTCGGGGACCCATGCCTGGCTTCTCGCAGACACTGGACCCCCAGGCCCCTCCCCGGAAAGGGGGCATGTCTCCAGCTGCCCTGGGGGCAAGGGGGGGGTCCCCACACACTCTGGTGTTCCTTGTGCTGGCAGCCCCTGCGGGAGCCCCCACCCCACAAATGCCTTCCCTCACCCGTCCCTCACTCTGCTCTCTGGGCCCAGCAGGCAGCCCTGACACAGCCACCCTTGTTCAGAACCGGCTGAGTGGGTGCCGTCCCACCCGCATGGGAGCCCGGGAGGGTGCCGCTGACCTCAGGACATTTTTTCAAAAGTCACAGCAATGTCTTCATCTTTTCCTGTCTGAGGGCACATTCCACGCGCGTCCCACGGGGCGCCCGCCCGCCAACGGGAGCCGCCGGCTTCTCCCGGAGCCCCTGGGTGGGTCATGTCCAGGGCGAGGGTCCTGAGACCTCCTGGTGCTTCCGACGTGGTCGCCTGGGGTGTGGTAGGGAGCCAGGTCAGAGGGGATCTCCGTGACAGCAGAGACAGCTGAGGTGGCGTCTGTAAAAGGAGGTGGTAGTGTCTCCCACAGGGCATGGCAGGGAGGGCTGGGTGTGGCCCTGGCCTGTGCAAAGGGCCTGCGGCAGACGGGGCTGAGGGTGTGCCTGTGTGTGTGTGTGGGGGGGGGCGTCTAGGAGCACCAGACGAGGCCGGGCGTGCTGGGTACGTGATGAGAGCCAGGTGCATCCACACTCACTCCCCGGTCGTGACAATGTCCCTTTGTCCCCAGGAGCCTGTGTGGTTTTATTTCTTGAAACTGATTTCAGAGAAGAAAAAGGACAAAGAGAGAGAGAGAGAGAGATTTGCTGTTCCACTTACTGATGTTTCATCCGTCGCTTCCTGTAGGCGCCGTGACCGGGAATCGAACCCATAACCTTCGTGTACCGTCACGATGCTCCCGCCTTTGCCTTTCATGCCACTGTCTTCCCCCTGCGCGCCCTGCCGTCCCTACCGGCCACCTGCCTCCCTGCCCTTGTGTCGGGCTCTCACATTCCTGAAGGTCCTGGTCACGACGCCCCTGTGGCTAAATGTTTGCGCTTTGAGCGCAGAGTTCATTTTCTGGCCTCGAAACCAGCGTGAGCTCATGAAACCCCAGGAACCAAGAGACCTCAGCCCCACAAAGCACCCCGTCCACGTTGCCATGGCAGCAGCCCTGGGTGGGGCCGCTGGCGCCCCCCGCCCCTCTCCGAGGACGAAGTTTCCTGCGGCCGTGAGCTGCTGAGACAGGCCCAGCTGTCGACACGCCTTCCGCTCCGCGTGGAGGTTGGCGCCCCCTCTCGGCCGGACGCTCGCAGTCCGCGTCCC